CATAATCATATTAAATAAAGACTTATTTAATAAATAAAAGTATCTAGCCACTTAAAATCCTAATAAAATTATAAAAATGTGTTTTCTAATCTTTTGTGCACTCTCTGCTATAATTTATTAAATTAAAAATATTTCTAATCTTTTGCGCACTCTCTGCTATAATTTATTAAATTAAAATATTTTTAATGAAACTTCTCCTTCGTATTATTTTTTATTGTGTTCCAACTAATAATTTGATTTTTATAAAATTAATAAGTTAGAAAAAAATCAAATAAATAAAGAAAAAAATTAAAAATAAAATATTGACGCTTTAAATATTAAAATTTTTTTATTGTCATTGTTAATACTTTAAATACTAAAAGGTTTTGATTTTCTTTAACCCAATAAATAAAGGATTAAATAAAAAAGGGACTTGATGCTTTCCAGAAAAGCAACCAATAGCAATATAGGTGAAATGGAAAAAACACGGTTTGATGCTTTTCCAGGAAGAATCTTCCAGCTCTGTCTTGCCGTCTTTTTTGACCTTTCAAATTGTCAATCTCTCTCTCACTTTTTTAATTTTTAGTTTTTAATTTTTTTAATATTCTTATCATTTTGTGGGTCCATTAATATTTCTTTACAACGAAATTATTAGAGTTAAAAGTACTGTTTTTTCCCTGAACTTTCAAATTTTACAAAAATTTGTCCCTTAAGTTTTTTTAATATTTTTTTTATCTTTTAACTTTCTAATTTTGTGTGAAAGGCTTTTAAGTCTAATTATTAAATCTCTAAATGTAAAAAATTTTCTCATCCGTTGATGAAAATTTGAATCTACGTAATTCGTTCCTTACTCTTATTCTTTGTAGGTTGAATCATTTGCTTTATGTTATAAAAAACTTTCTAATTTGGTTCAAAAGTGATATATTCATTAATTATTTAAAAAGTTAAAGAGACCATCATAGTATTGAATATTATAGTTAACCTAGTAATTTCAAAGTTGGCGTTGGTGTCTCATGTATTGTATCCATTGCATGTGCTCTCAGTCTCGCCAAATTGTTTCCACTGCATGACCAAGACAATCAGATTTCCACTGCTTAGATCCTTCTCTTCTGCAAACTGTCACCATCCTTCTTGCTGGGTATCTCCCTTTCTCTCCCTAGGCCAAATTGAGGTATATATATATTTCTGACCTCTCTTAATTTTTTTTTTTTGGTTAAAATGTTAAATTTCAATTTTTCATGGCCATATTAACTAATAATTATAATCTTCTCCGTTGGCTAATCAATCTGATCTGATTTTGCATAATCAAAGGCTCAACTGAAAGAGCCTTGTCCTCTCTACAACCTTTGCAACTCTCCTCCTCTCTTTCCATTTGCTTGAAGCATTGAAAAGAAATTAAAGCTTATATATTTTGGAAGGTATGCATACATCTCTCTAACATCTTGATGTTAGATTTTGTCAATCCATCTGCTAATTGATTTCTTTGTAAATATTAATTAATTTTGAATAAGTGTTTGCTTTTTCCAACTCCTAATTAATTAATGAAAATTTTCTTTGTGTTCAAAGGTCTTTCTAACCAAATTAAGGATTTATTAGTTGCAAATTTTTTCTATTAATTTTGAAAAATAAAAAAATTGATTTTATTTTTAACACTTACGGTGCATGGGTATTTTTAATAATAAAGTTAGCTTTTAGTCACAATTATAAACTCACAATTTAAGATAACATTATAACTAATATTTTTTGTTTATTTTTTTCAAAACAATTAATAAATACATGTTAAAAAATTTCTTTTAAATTACATACAATCTTTTTAAAAATTTTCCACTCATAAAGTAATTACATCATGAAATGTGTATATATATATATATATGAAATAGTACCCATTGGTTTTAACTTCAAAAAATGAAAGAAAAATCACTCTAAAACTAAATCTAAGTTGTTTCAATAAATTTTTATTAAGTAAAATTAAAATATCTTATTTTTAAAATATGAATTATATTATTTTGTCTTTTTTTGATATTTTATTAAAATGAAGTTATTTTAAAATAATTTTTCGGTAAAATAGATAAACATTAATCTCATTTATAAAATATATAAAAAGATGAATGATTGAATTAAATATATAAAAGATACAGAAAGTTGAATGGTTGAATTAATTAGCTGTTGAAATTAAAGTTTCCTTCCTTTCTTGTATTGTACAATAGATAAACATTAATCTCATTTATAAAATATATAAAAAGATGAATGAATGAATTAAATATATAAAAGATACAGAAAGTTGAATGGTTGAATTA